AAGAAAACCTAAATGAAAAGCATATAACAAGATCAACTATGCCAGCAAGAGGAAGTAAGAAGCTTATAAGTCTGCATTCTCATCAGCTGTACTTCAAATATCAATGATGGTAAATTGACAGTTTTACAGCATATTTCACAAAAAGCAAAACTGTTGCTTAAGCAAGATAAATTGATTTACTTGTGGCAGAGAACAAGTCAATGAATGAGACAGACTAAGGGTAAGTTTAACAAATCATGCTCCCAATCACAGTTGGTTCACACAGTAACTTCCATTAGTAACTTAATTCAGGGTACACTATGCCACCTTTTAAAACTTAAAACCAAATGTATAAAATGTAACATTTTATACAAAATAATCAGATTATGGAAAGAGGGTGCTTTGCATTCTACTTGCTCTCTTTAGCACTATTTCCCTAATCATGATTAATCCAATTAATCGTTATAACCCTATAATGCAGATATTTATTACTCATTCTGAGTTTTAACTAATCCTGCCTTTAGAAGTGGGCCTTTGCAAGTACAACAGCACAACATTTGCTGGAGTTAGCATCTTTCTGTTAAAACAAAAAAATAGTGGTTGGTCAGTTGTGATCCCTGGTGAAGCTGTTGTTAAGGTACAACATCAAGCAGCAATGTACGTAGTAAAGAATGACAACCACCACCTGTTAGTTAAAGAGTATTTGGTTATGATTGGAAAGAGAACATTGATTTCTTAGGTTTATCCCGACCTTACGATTCCTGATCGAGAGGTGTTGGTGAAAGGCTAATTGCCCCTAGTTCCCCCCTGTACACAACACGACACACGATGAAGCTGAAACTGGGCTCAATCGAAAAATTCCAGTATGACTGGAGCTTCGGCCCGAAAAGGGCAAAAAAAAAAATTTGTACACTCTATGCCCAGCTTAAGGCAGGTATGAAGTGATGCATCCCTTTGAAGTGCTATTTGATCTCCTACGTCTGTGAGAAGACACTATCTAACCAACATCATTTAGACAAGGTATATTCATGAAGCTAACTTTATCATATTTTTGAGTACAGTATATGTAATGAGAAGCAAATGCCAGTGCTACAAAAACGATAAAAGCTTAAGACAACTCAAAGAGGAAGTAAATGTAAAGCACCCTCTTCCTATAATCCACACTGCCATAATAATCATTCATATATTTTCTGATTACAGATATCCTAAATTATTCTAGATACTCTGTCAATGCTGCACTCAAATGATGCGCATCCAAAATGTAGAACCATCTCAGATCATTTTGCTTCAGGATTTTAAGAGGCTCTGAAAAAATGCAGACACGCATCCTTCTGATCAGCATCACTCTTCTGTAAGAAGTCAAACACCGCTGTAAGCAGAGATGTCTCGTCTGTGCTTAGACCACAGCATTGCAACAGCATTCTGAGGTTTCATGCAACACAATGTAAAACAACATTTGATAATGTTTTATGCAAAGCAGACCCAGACTGTTCTAAGCTTAGAGGGGAATCCTACTTCAAATTAGGCATATGATTTAACAAAGTATCTGACTGTTAGACAGTTTATTGATCTCTTTTGTGTTTTTTTGTTAAGAAAAAAAAAACAATTACTGTACTGTTATCTGTTTCTAAGTTGGACATCTTGAAGTGTATAAACAAAAACAAAAAACTGTTTTTGCAATAATTTTTGAGCTCTTTAGTTAGCCAAGCTATTTTGTTTTTCTTTTTGTCTTTTTTTCAGTCTTACTATATCAACCCTGATCTTTCCACCAGGCTTTTGTTGCTCATTTTTCATTGTTGACAATGTCACGACCCAAACACCCGCAAATACACACCGTCCAAATAAAACAACATTCATTCTGTTGCATTATATGGCATTTTATTCCACAACTAACCCAATGCAAGTCTAATTCCTTACTCACTGGAGCCTAATAAAGTCTTTTAAGATTTTTGTTATTTTTTAAGTTTATTTTGTAAATAAACACACACACACACAGAGATGTGTGTGCTAGAAATTCTTGATAACTGATAGCCGTTTGTTGTTAAGATCTGTGCATTTTGGAGTACAAAATATGTTTAAAGGATATAAAAACTGTTTTAAAAAGATGCATTTTATGCAAAAGAAATGCATGAATCACAATTATCACTATCTCGTAATACAAAGAGATAAACACAACCAAATCAAGCCTTGAAGTTTGGTGATTGAGTTTGCAGGTCAGACAATTTACAAATAGATCTGCAAGTAAATTGATACCTGGCCAATATGAAGATTATATTTTGTACATTTTATCATTTGGACCAATCATCAGGACTCTATGCAGGCTTGGCGTTTTCTGAATTTGGTTAATTTATGCCTCAGTGAAAATAGAAACTCCGCTGGCCTGCTATTGGGAAATCCCATTATTCCAGTGTTCTTTTCTTCTTAGTTGACAGTTGTCACTTCCTTTTAAACTTTATGGAAAATATATCTGAGGGAAATGTTACCCGCGTAGTAGTATGATTATGGACAAATGCCCCAGGATAGATCTGGTAAGGACTTTGCAGAACGCGGTCCTCCTTTGTCATTGATTCTTCAGCAGTTCCCACACTGAGCATGCATGACACTGTAGAGGAAAAACTTCCTTTTAATTCTAAGAAACCTCCAGCAAACCATGCTTAGTGTGACCAACCTTCTACTGAGGCCTATCACACTGAATTAGGCATCTTTATAAAATATTAACACTTATTCTTATGCTAGTATTTGTATGCAATATTAGGCAAATTTATGACTCAATGCCTTCTAAACCCTGCAAATGCCTCTGATGGATTAAAAGTCTGAATTTCTGATAATCTAACTTGGTGACAGTCCTAAACTCTGTATACAGATTTTAAATTTTACCCCAACATGCTCAGGTAATCATAAAGTATCTTTAAAATAAAAAAGAAAGGGATATTGACAACGCTCTATATCTGCGTCCTTCATCCTAAATCACATTGTTGAGCAACAGCTTGTTTCACAAAATCTGCTTTGTTTATTTATATTTAGACTTACAAATGTATTCGTAACTGCAAATCAAAATATATACACTAAAACTAAAACGCAAAGAATTTGGAAGATGTATGAATCCCAGCAGTTAAAGATATTTGGCAGCTTCAGACCAGTTTCTGATATTAAAATTAAATAATGGCATCCTCTCCATGACCCTAAAAAGACCCTAAAATTCAAACAATCCAACAATTAACAAATGAGTTAACTGATTAAATAAGAAGTTAAGAACCGTTGAGTTGATGCTATATTGCAGTATAAATGTATAATATATAAAAAAAATCATCTTGAAAGAGTAATACAGTGAGGATGATAGTTTTGCTACTGTAGGCTAAAGCAGCCAAATGGCATTTTTTTTTTTTTTTTCAGCTTCCTATCTGCACAGCAGCTTTAAAAGGTCATCACGTAGAAAAGTTCAAGCACTCAGCATAATTTATGGCTTAAGAAATAACACATCCATCTGTAATCTCTGACCCCCTTTGTTTCTCTGTGCAAACACAGCAAACAGGCAGGCCACAGCCTTCTCACACATGTGGGCTTGTGTTCATTGATAAGGCCAAGCAGTTAATTGAGCCCCTTTAAAACAAAGTCATTCACTTTATGGGACAGACTTTTTAGAGTAGGCAACATGCAAATGGAAAAAATGGAGCAGAGGATTACTTTTCTTATGTTTGTGTCAGATATTTATCGGGCATTTAGCTGTAAAGTAAAGGTAAACTCAGCTCTGGATGTCAGAAACGACCCCGGCGCGCGCATCGATTAACTATCGGTTCTCTGGTGACTCACCTCTCTGCTGGGTATGGCAGCATTGCCATAGCAACGCGTCGATAAGCACCAGTAGGGAAAGATGAAGTAGTCGATCCATTTCGCTCTGTGTGGTTTGATGTCCTGCTGCGCGCCGCGGAGTGCGCGCCGTCCTCTCCGGCGCTTCGGTGTTGAATGACAGAAAAGTTTCACACAAGTTGAGCCAAACTTTTCCCGCAGGCGTCTTCCTTCTCCTCCTCCTCCTCGTGTCCCCCTTTTATCCCTCTCTCCTCCTCCTTCCTCCTCCTTCACGATGGCACGGAGAGATAGACAGATGGATATATGTGGACATAAAAACCTCTTAAGGTGAGGGGACAGCTGATACGCGGCATCTCAAAGGGTCCTAAAATGTAATAAACCTTTATTTTTTCTGCAACAGAGCTTGGAGATAAAAGCCTCAACAGAACAAAGCAAATAAGGTATTATATCATCTTTTTTTCTGGTTAATATGGAACTGAAAGTTCAATACACAGATAAAGCCCACATCTGGAATCCAGAAGTTAGTTCGTTCTTTTATGGAGTCCTCTCAGCTACATACACTATTGTTCTACAGCTCCTCCTGCTGCTCTGCACAAGTTACCACAGACTGGGGCAAAGCTCAGACACCCAATAAGCTTCCTTAAATGAAACCTTGTCTTGTTATGTAAACGTGCCAGTGGTGTCAAAAGTACACACATTTGTTACTTAAGTAGAAGTATAAATACTGCAGTTTAAAAAAACTCTGGTAAAAGTTGAAGTATCAACTTGACCTCTTTACTAAAGTAAAAGTATGTGCTCCAAAAACTACTTAAAGTATAGAAGTATAAAGTAACCTTTAAAAAATAATAATAATAAAACAGCCAGATGGCACTATATGAAGTGAAAGCTTAATATTTCGACTATTTCAAAGATTCTTTGAGATAGGGCCAAGGATGAGGGAGGTCTTGTCGGTCTCCGTCTGCATCTCCCGATACGCTATCGCCTGTGTCAGACCTTTCAGACATTTAATCTGTTTCTGAATCCCACATTGTAGTATGGCATAGACAATTCGCATTTGCAGTTTGAAGAACACCTGCTTGCTTCTG